CCATGACCCTTAGACCATAATGGTGCCTGGCTACCACTGTTAACCACTTCTAGAAGGTCCTGGATAGAGTGGGAGAAAAATGTGGAGCAAAACTCAGTCTGATAGAGACTGGTGAAACCCCCAAGACGATGGCCCTTAGTCACCCCTCAAGCCTGGAACTGAACAAACCCCCGTGGCTCAATTTTCAGCTGAATAATAGATAGGCCTATGAGGCAAACGGGAGCTCTGGTAGCATAGTGCCTAAGGCACTTGACTGCTAACCAGAAGGCTGGCGGTTCAAACCCACCAGCCACTTCTTGGAAGGAAGGTTGTGCAATCTACTTCTGTAGTGATACCGCCTCGGAAACCCAAGGTGGGGTTGCTATGAGTCGGGTCCGACTCGACAGCACATAACAACAACACGAGGTGAATAATGACACCAGGGAGGTATGTGCTCCTTGGAAAAATCAACCATATGAGATCAAAAGGGTAGCATTTGCCCAGGGATAAAGCTCATAAGACAGGAAAGAATAGGAAAGAAAGACAAATAGAAATGAAGTGGAAAGAGTGCTGTTACATTGTGGGGATTGCAGTGAATGTCACAAAACAAAATGTTTATGAATGGTTGAATGTAAAATCAATCTGCTCTGTATACTTTACTTGACCCACAATAAGAAGTTAATAAATAAATCAATCCTATTTTTATTTTTTTAAAAAATAAAACACAGTGCGGTTGGCTTAGAGTTTATATTGAGCCTCTTAATTTTGGCGAACATTGTTGAATCGTAATATAGCCATATTAAATCCCAGGCTCCCATTAAGGGCAGCAGGAGGAAAGCTATTTGCTGGTTAAAAATTGCAGTGACTAATTAATTTCTGTTGTTGCCGTTGGTTGCTGTGAAGTCAGTTCCAACTCAGGGTGGACTCGGCGATTCTGCGTAAGCAGAGTAGAACTGCTCCATAGGGGTTTCAAGGCTGTGACCTTTCAGAAGCAGATCACCAGGCCTGTCTTCAAGGGGCCCCAGGTAGGCTCAGCCCACCAGCCATTCAGCTAGTAGTCAAGCACTGAACTGTTTTGCGTCAGCCAGGGACCTGCCTTGTTTCTGCTCTGGCTGAAATCCAGGGTATCTGCTTTAATCCCTTGTTAATTTTAATGAGAAGTAATTATGACCAAAATTCAGGTCTTTCTGTTAGGAACAATGAAACAATAAAAGCTTTATTTATTATTTTTTTAAAAAAAGCAAAGCTAAATTTTTATGTACTTTTGTATTAACCAAAAAAAACAAAAAAAAAAAAGTCTGTTGTTGAGTCGAATCCGACTCATAGCGACTCCTCCTTGGGTTTTGTATTTGTTTTAAAACAAATACAAAACAAAAATATTTTGTATGTGCTATTTCCATTGTGTTAATGTTTTTACAATTTTTTAAAAGTTGTGGAAGTTGATTAATGGATTTTGGGAAATCTTTTTAGATAAAACGCTGATACAGAGAAGCTTCACTTTTTTGTGGATCATAATCATTTGTAAAAACAGCATTATTGAGTTATATACCATAAAGTTCACCCATTTAAAATATATAATTTAATGATTTTTAGTACATTTGCAGGGTGTGCAACCACCATCATAATCTACTTTTAGAACATTTTCATCACCCAAAAAGAATCTCATACCCGTTGACCATCACTTCCCACTCCTTTTTCTCCCCAGCCCTAGGCAACCACTCATCTGCCTTCCGACTCTATAGATTTGCTGGTTCTGGACACTTCATATAAATAGTATTTAATCAGTGGTCTTCTGTGGTTTGGAGAACAAATTGGTTTTCCATTAATAGCGTGATTTTATATGACACCAGAGTGTTACTCACTGAAAGTGGGTTAATTTAAATACATGTGATCTGTCTTCTGTATTGAGTTTACAGCTCAGCAGAATTATCCCGGCAGCCTGATTGGAGATACATAGAAATATATATATTTCATTGTGGGCAAAAGTAGTGGCTAAATGAGTGGTTTTGAAATTCCTTTGTTATGAAAAACAAAATTTTGTTCCTGGGAAGCTTTCATGAGTGTTGTGCATGTATGTTGCTGTTTGTTAGGTGCCATAGAGTCAGCTCTGACTCACAGCAACGCTATGTACAACAGAATGAAACCCTGCCTGTCCGCCCTTCCCACAAACGTTGCCGTGCTTGAGCCCTTTGCTGCAGCCACTGTGTCAGTCCATCTTGTTGAGGGTCTTCCTCTTTTTCTCTAGCCCTCCACTTTACCCAGCATGATATCCTTCTCCAGGAACTGGTCCCTTCTGGCAACGTGACCAAAGTAGGTGAGACGAAGTCCGGCCATTCTCGCTTTTAAGGAGCATTCCAGCTGCATTTCTTCCAAGACAGATTTATTCTTTCTTCTGGCAGTCTGTGGTACTTTCAGTATTCTTTGCCAACAGCACAATTCGAAGCATCAATTATTCTTCAGTCTTCCTAATTCATTGTCCATTTTTCACATGCATATGAGGCGATTGAAAATGCCATAGCTTGCGTTAGGTACACTTTAGTCTGCATAGTGACATCTTAGCTCTGGAACACTTGAAAGAGGTCTTTTGCAGCAGATTTTCCCAGTGTAGCACAACATCTGATTTCTTGACTGCTGCTTCCATGGATGTTGATTATGGATCCACGTCAAATGAAATCTTTGGCAACTTAAATTTTTCTCAGCTCATCATTGATGTTGCTTATTGGTCCATTTGTGAGGATTTTTGTTTTCTTTATGTTGAGGTATAATCTATACTGAAGATGGTAGTCTTTCATCTTCATCAGTAAGTGCTTTGTTCTGGTTACCTAGTGCTGGTCTGACAGGAATACACCACAAATGAGATGGCCTTAACAAACAGGAGTTTATTCTCTTACAGTTTGGAGGCTTTAACTCCAAGTTCAAAGTGCCAGGCTCTAGGGGCTGGGTGAAAGCCCCTCAGCCTTGAGGTTCAGCTCTGCCTCCTGGTCCCGGCCCACTGGAGCTAGAGGCTTTTCTTCACTCAGACAGCTGCTAGCTACTGAGGCTGAAGAACCCAAGTTGACAAGTGAAAAGGCACAGTCCTGATGTTACCAAACCACACAGCAGGCCATTAATTCAAATCCATTTTAAGTCCCAAGGTTGGCAGAGCATAGCAGGCTGCTGAACATGGCTACAAGCAGGGTCCAAACGTGCCATCGGCTAGAGACCATTTCCAAAGCTGCTTCTTATATATGGGAAGCAGACCACACACCCAAAGGCAGCTACTCAGCTGCTCACAATAGATTCCACCATGGAGTTGATTACCAATCTCATCATGGGGAATACTACATCCAACTGCCCAGCCACTCAACCAGGCCTAGCCAAGTTGACACAGAAACATAACTACTACATGCTTCGAGTCCTCTTCACTTTTAGCAAGCAAGATTGTGTCATCTGCATATCGCAGGTTGTTAATGAGTCTTCCTCCAACCCTGATGCCACATTCTTCTTCATATAGTCCAGTTTCTTGGATTATTTGCTCAGCGTACAGATTGAATAAGTATGGTGAGAGGATACAGCCCTGATGCACACAACCCTGTGCTTGTGTAGCTGTGTGAAAATATCATTGGTGCTTTTGTGGGAGGTAAAAATACAGGCCACTGGCCTTTCTGTGTTTCATGGGCAAAGACTACATCCGCAGTTTTGGCCTACCTTCCCTGAATTGGAAGTGTGAATGGATAAGTAAAATGTCCGTTGTTGCAGAGTCAGCCAGTAGTCTTACTTTAGCATGTACAGATTGATGAATTTAAACTATTTTCACCTGTAAAATTATTGCTTCACAGTGGCATGTTACCTCAGAAAGCATCTGATTCAGCATCCCCTCCAGCACAGAAATTTCTCTGACATCACCCCTGAAATTGTCATCTAACTCTTGTTGAGTACTTCCTGTGACAAAGAGCTCATAATGTGAGGCAATCCTTTTTCACTATTCTAATTGTTAGGAAGGAGCTCTGGTAGCGTAGTGCCTAAGGCACTTGACTGCTAACCAGAAGGCTGGCAGTTCAAACCCACCAGCCACTCCTCGGAAGGAAGATGGGGCAATCTACTTACGTAGTGATATTGCCTCAGAAACCCAAGGCGGGGTTGCTATGAGTCGAGTTCGACTCGATGGCACATAACAACAACAACTAATTGTTAGGAAGTTCTTTTATAGACACCGTTGAAATCTTTCCTCATCTGCTGCTGACTTCAGTTGTATCCTCTAGAACAAAATTAGTGTGATCTGTTCTCCCTTATACCATCTTCAAATTAAAGATCATTACTGGCTTCTTTAATTATTTGCATAAAACACAATGTTCTGGTCCTTGCTGTATTGGTTGTCTTTCTGGATGCATTTTCGGTGTTCACTATTTGATGTTCAGAAAGGTTGTAAGCAAATTAAACAAAACATGGTTATCTAAAAGTGGTAGAGGTTGGGGGCTACTTCTCTGGTCCTGTATTGCCTTGCTCGTTCCTCTGCAACATTACAGGAATATTGCATTACATGACCTAGATGTTCCTTACACTGTTGTTGTTATTTGCCATCGAGTCGGCCCCGACTCATAGCGACCCCTCCTTGGGTTTCCGAGGCAGTATCACTACGCAAGTAGGATTGCCCAACCTTCCTTCCGAGGAGTGGCTCGTAGATTTGAAACGCCAGCCTTCTGGTTAGCAGTCAAGTGCCTTAGGCATTATGCTGTCAGAGCTCCTGGTACTCAGCTACTCATGGTAGATTCCACTATGGAGTTGATTACCAGTCTCATCATGGGGAATACTACATCCATCTGCCTAGCCACTCAACCAGGCCTAGCCAAGTTGACACAGAAACATAACCACTATCCTTACCCTGTCAACCCTTAAAGAGCTGGTGATCAACTAAAACCTTCAAGTTTTTGTAACACTCGCTAACTGCCTTAAGCATTGCAACGTGAGATTTCTTTTGCCTTTGGGGCACTTCTCTAGCTAAAATAGGAAATGAATGTTAAATTTTGATATCTTTCTTCCAGATGAAGTAAAAAAGATCTTAGACAAGTTTTACAAGAGGAAGGAAATTCAGAAACTGGGTGCTGATTATGGACTTGATGGTAAGGTCATAGAAATCTTTTATTACTTCTTAGAGTACATTTTTGTTGGTATTGTGTGGGGCACTGTGTACCTGGAAAGAAGTACACAGTTGTGGTCTGGAGACATGTCCTTGACCTTTCCTTCTGGCCTGGAAGGACACTGGCAAGACAACCTGAGCCAGACTACATGGCAAAGGGGGAGTCCTTTTGCTGGAATCTGTATAGACCTGGAGATGACTAAACAAAAGTGGGAATTGTCCGTCCACCTCGATAATTTTGCTGGGGGAAAAATTGTTACGTCATTTGTGTAATGAAATATCCTAGTGCTCTGCCTTTTCCCAGTATCAGTGAATTTGAAGCCATAAAGACTGTAAAACTGAACAAAAATGTCTAAATAAAGTATCATTCACACACACATACACACATACACACATAGACTGTAAAACTGCCTGTCAGAAGTTTTATATCAGCATATGAGATTTCAGTGTTCTTGACTGTTTCCTGATCTGTGGAAAAGCTAAGACATATCATTAAAGTACATTTCTGATAAAATATCATCCCTTTAAGCTGAATATATCTAAAAAATGTATTTAGAAAAATATTTCTGCTAGTTATTTTTGCCTGTTTGTAACACATTAATACTTAAATACAAAGAAATAAGAATGCATTCAAGTTTCTTATATAAAAATCATTTTTAAATGATTCTTTTGTTTAGTGTATATGTGTACTTTTTTTCTTTTATTAATGAAAACAAACTCTACTTATTTTGATTTTGTGTTTCCACAGCTCGTCTCTTCCACCAAGCTTTCATAAGCTTTCGAAATTATATCATGCAGTCTCATTCCCTGGATGTGGACGTTCACATTGTTTTGAATGATATTTGTTTCAGTGCAGGCAAGTGTGTTAAGATTGTTTTTTTCAATCCTTTGAATATACTTTCTGTTTTTTTCTCTGCTTCCTGTTTACTTCTCTAAGCCAAAAACCAAACTCGTGGCTGTTGAATTGGAATCAACTCATTGTGACCTTATAGGACAGAGTAGAACTGCCCCATAGAGTTTCCAAGGCTATAATCTTTACTGAAACAGACTGCTATATCTCTCTCCCATGGAGTGGCTGGTGGGTTTGAAACGCCCACCTTTCAGTTAGCAGCCGAGTGCTTAACCACTGTACGACCAGAACTCCTTCCCATTTACTTTTCTAGGCAGGGCTTGTTTGTTTTAGAATAGGTCTGAGTTAGTTGTTGTTGTTAGGTTCCATGGAGTCATCTCCAACTCATAGCGATGCTATGCACACAGAACAAAACACTGCCCGTTCTTGTGCCAGCCTCACGATCCTTACTATACCTGAGCCCATCATTGCAGCCACTGTGTCTATCCATCTCGTTGAGGGCCTTCCCCTTCTTCATTGACCCTCCACTTGACCAAGCATGATACCCTTCTCCAGGGAATTTCCTTCTGACAACATGACCAAAGTAGGCGAGACAAAGTCTGGCCATTCTTACTTCCAAGGAGCATTCCAGCCACACTTCTTCCAGGACAGATTTGTTAGTCCTTTTAGCAGAACGTGGTTCTCTTAGCATTCTCCTCCAACACCACAACTCAAAAGCATCAACTCTTCTTCAGTCTTCCTTATTCATTGTCCAGCTCTCACATGCATAAGAGGTGATTGAAAATACCATGGCTTGGGTTAGGTGCACCTTAGTCTTCAAGGAGACATCTTTGCTCTTCATCACTTGAAGGAGGTCTTTTGCAGCAGATTTGCCCACTGCAATATGTCGTCTGATGTCTTGACTGCTGCTTCTATTGGTGTTGATTGTAGAACCAAGTCATATGAAATCCTTGACAACGTCAATCTTTTCTCCATCTACTGTGAAGCTGTTTATTGGATCAGTTGTGAAGATTTTTGTTTTCTTTATATTGAGGTGTAATCCATACTGTAGACTGTAGTCTTTAATCTTCATCAGTGAGTGCTTCAGGTCATTCTGACTTTTCAGCAAAGTTGTGCCATCTGCATATCACGGTTGTTAATGAGTCTTCCTCCAATCCTGATGCCATGTTCTTCTTCATGTAATCCATCTTCTCTGATGATTTATTTAGCATACAGATTGAATAAGTCTGGTGAAAGGATACAGCCCTCCCTTCTTGATTTTAAACCATGCGATACCCCCTTGTTCTGTTTGAACGACAGCCTCCTGATCTGTGTACAGGTTCCTCATGAGTACATAGTCAAGTGTTGTGGAATGCCCAGTCTTCTTAATGTTATCCATAATTTGGTATGATTCACGCAATCAAATGCTTTTGCATAGTCAATAAAATATAAGTAAACATCTTTCCGATATTCTTTGGTTTCAGCTAGGATCCATCTGACATCGGCAATGATATCCCTTGTTCCATGTCCTCTTCTGAATCCAGCTTGCGTTTCTGGAAGCTCTCTGTTAATACACTGCTACAACCATTTTTGAATTATCTTCAGTTAGATTTTACTTGCATGTGATATTAATGATATTGTTTGATAATTTCCACATTGTTTGAGATCACCTTTCTTTGGAATGGGTACAGATATGGATCTCTTCCAGTCAGTTTGTCAGGTAGCTATCGTCCAAATCTCTTGGCATAACTGAGTGATTGCCTCCAGTGGGGCATCCATTTGTTGAAACATCTCAGTGGGTTCCATCAATTCCTGGAGCCTTGTTCTTCACCAATTCCTTCAGTGCAGCTTTGACTTTTTCCTTCAATACCATTGGTTCTTGATCATATGCCACTATCTGAAATGGATGAACATTGACCAATTGATTTTGGTATAGTGACTGTGTATTCCTTCCATCTTCTTTTGATGCTTCTTGCATCATTCAATATTTTCCCATACAATCTTTCAATATTGTAACTTGAGGCTTAAATTTTTTCCTCAGTTCTTTTAGCTTGAGAAATGCTGAGTGTATTCTTCCCTTTTGGTTTTCTAACTCCAGGTTTTGCACGTTTCATTATAGTAATTGGCTTTGTCTGCTTGAGCTGCTCTTTGAAATCTGTTCAGCTCTTATATTTTGTCATTTCTTCCATTTGCTTTAGCTACTGTCCACTCAAGGGTAAGTTTCCGAGTTTCTTCTGACATCTGTTTTGGTCTTTTCTTCCTTTCTTGTCTTTTTAATGACTTCTTGCTTTCTTCATGGGTGATGGTTTTGATATCATCCCACAATTCCTCTGGTTTTCAGTCATTGGTATTCAGTGTATCAAATCTAGTCTTTAAATAGTCTCTAAATTCAGGAGCGATATTATGAAGGTCATATTTTGGCTCTCATGGACTTGTTTTAATTGTCTTGAACTTCAACTTGAATGTGCATATGAGCAGTTGATGGTCTATTCCACAATTAGCTCCTGGCCTTGTTTGGGCCAAAGATAATTGAGCTTCTCCTTCACCTCTTGCCACAGATGTAGTCAATCTGATTCCTGGGTATTCTATCTGGTGAAGCCCATGTGTATAGTCATTGCTTATGTTGTTGAAAAAAGGTATTTGCAATGAATAAGTCGTTGGTCTTGCATAATTCTGTCATGCAATCTCCAGCGTTATTTCTATCTCCAAGGCTATATTTTCCAACTACCAGTTACTCTTCTTTGTTTCCAACTTTTGCATTTCAGTCACCAGTGATAATCAACATATCTTGATTGCGTGTTCGGTTAATTTCAGACTGCAGAAGTTGGTAGAAATCTTCAGTTTCCTCATCTTTGGCTTTGGTGGTTGGTGTGTAAATTTAATTAATAGTAGTATTAACTGATCTTCCTTGTAGGCATATGGATATTATCCTATCACTGACAGCATTGTACTTCAGGACAGATCTTGAAACATTCTTTATGACAACGAGTGCCACGCCATTCCTCTTCAATTTGTCATTCCCGGCATGGTAGATCATATGGTTGTCTGATTCATAATGGCTAAAACCAGTCCATTTCAGCTCACTAATGCCTAGGATATTGATCTTTATGCATTCCATTTCATTTTTGACAACTTCCAATTTTCCTAGATTCTTACTGCATACATTCCCTATTCTAATTATCAATGGATGTTTGCTCTGTTTCTTCTCATTTTGAGTCATGCCACATCAGCCAGTGGAGGTCCCAAAAGCTTTGCTCTATCCATATTGTTCAGGTCATCTCTACTTTGAGGAGTCAGCTCTTCCCCAGTCAAATTTTGAGTGCTTTCTGACCTGATGGGCTCATCTTCTGGCACTATATCAGGCAGTGTTTCAGGGCTGTTCATAAAGTTTTCTAGTAATATATCAGACCGTGTTTCACTGCTATTCATAAGTTTTCACTGGCCAATTGTTTGAGAAGTGAATGGCCTCTTCCTTCTTCAGATCTGTCTTAGCTCAGATGCTCCACTGAAACCTGCCCACCATGGGTAGCCATGCTGGCATTTTGCAACATGGTGGCTTACCCTCCAGTCTCATAGGAACACATAAGTCACCACAGGATGACAAACTGACAGACAAGTTCGTCTCCCTTAGTTGTTCCTAACCCCTCAGCACCTGCATACCTCAGGCAATGACCTTAAAATAGAGCCACCCATAAGGGAAAAGGCGCCCCCAAGCCTGGCTCACCTACCTCAGGCCCTGGACTCCAAGTTCTGGGCCTGCCTACATTAGGCACTGGCCTAATAGCCACACATAAGTGAAAAGCAGCCTCCCACCTGCCTCAGGCCCTGACCTTAATATAGAGCCATCTCCAAGTGAAAAGCAGCCTCCAAGCCCCAGGCTTGCCTACCTCAGGTCCCAGCCTTAATAAAGAGCGGCCCCCAAGCGAAAAGCAGCCACCAGCCCTGGGCCCACCTAACATTAACCAGTTTGGTGGTACCAAGTCTGAGTAACATTACCTATAAATAATTCAGTGCTTTGATAGAAGACTTTCTAGGTCGTTTTGCTTTATATAGTGGGTCTCTGAGCTACTTAGGAGCTCTGGTGGTGTAGTGCCTAAGGCACTTGACTGCTAACCAGAAGGCTGGCTGTTCAAACCCACCATCTACTCCTCAGAAAGAAGATAGGGTAATATACTTTGCCTTGGAAACCCTAGGAGGGGTCACTATGAGTCGATGGCAGTGAGTTTTTTTTGTTTTTTTTTTCTGAGCTAGTGATACTGCCTCAGAAACCCAAGGAGGGGTCGCTATGAGTTGGGTCCGACTCGATGACACATAACAACAACAACAGTTATTAAATCACCCATATGTCTTAGACTTGAGGACTGGGGCCTTGATCTACCATCACCTTTCCCTGCTGCGTTTTAGTATCTACCTCAGTGAAATGAGCTCTCACACTAGATAGAATCAGCACATAGCAGATTAGATTTGTTTCTGCCTTAGCTTCTTTCTCTCTCATGTCAGGACAAACCTCTTGCTACAAGAGAAGAAAAGAAAAAAGTAAGAACATTATTACTTTATTTCCATAGGCAGTTTGACTTTGGTTATGTTTTTAAAATATATTTGACCATTAAACTTTTACCTTGTGCCAGGTGCTGAGCAGAAATTGGATACAAAGCAAAATGGGACATAGCCCCACCCTTGGCTCAGAGCCACTGTGGTGTGGAGAATTCTTGCTGAGGAATTAATTTACTTTTATGTTTGTGTCTCTGTGATCTTTGAAAAATCACAAACAGTGTTTAAAAAATATTACATGCTTTAAAATGGTTAAATGTTTTAAAATCACAAGTTTCCTTTCTAATGTGTATATCCAGATTCTTTATTTTTATCTTAACTTTT